AAGGCCGAGTGTGCAAGTTACAGTGCGTGTTCAACGTAAAACCTTTGTGAGTAGTTTTAACGTAGTCAGTCTTGGGCGAAACAATGACGCGAAAGTTGGTTTGGTGGTCGTCAAAGTTGAAATTAGTCTTCCTGGCGGTATCCGGCTGTGAAAGTTGATTTCCTTCGATCGAGGTGGACTTGGGTGGTAAGGGGCTCGTCGGCCGCTGGACTTTCGGTCCTTCCTCTATCGTCTTTGTCGAGAGTCCCTCGGTCGTCTGCTGCACGGGGATCATCTCCTCCGGGAGGCTGGACAGCGTCTCTGAATCATTTGAACATGGGACTCGCATTGAATTAAACAACCGATTTTGGGGATTTGTTTCACGATTTTTCGTCGTTATAATATTTGGGACTGGAATTAGGAGTTACGCGGTCCACTCCGTCAAATTCACATTGATTTGATTTTGCGGTCAGAAAGTCATTCGACAAATATTGACTGATTGAGGTGACGTTGTAGTTACTTTGTATTCATGGATATTTAATTTTTTTCCGAGCCTTTGGAAATTGCGATTGTATACTTGAACTGTAATTACAATATTTATTCGTTATATATTTCTTTTGAAATGGTATTTTCAAATAATATTAATGCAACCTTTAATGAGACTTTAGAAGTATAGTACAATATTTTTTACACATTTACGTATATATATATAGAAATAAAGTTAAATTGAAGGTTATTCGCCAAGTTATTTAAAATAAATGTTTACATTTTTAAAAAAACCTATACCAATCATTTATATTAAATTTCTTTAATTTCTCCAAATAATTTCTTAAATAAACAATTTCTTTAGTACAGTCTGATAGCAAAAAGATTTTTTTTGCCTTATAATGAATTCCATAATTCTACATGTAACGTTCTACAACACTTAAACAGAGATCATGGAAAGTTTCAAACAAAGAGGGAAGAAAAACTGGAAATCCGGGTTAAAGTACTAGCCAAGGTGAATCGCTTTTACAAATATCAAATAATACAAATAGTTGTTTAATTTTTTTTTATCTACTTATCATGAAGTACCATATTAGGCGCATAAATGCTACCTACATTACTTGCATTCATCTGCTTTTATTCCATGAAAATACAACATAATTTTCCATATACTTTGTTATTATATTATCACAATATTATGTGTAATATTGGCATGAAAATTTTTCTTCCCTTAATGTTTATTTTTGTTTGAAAAGATAATAATATAATCATAATTTTTACATTTTTTAATACTTTTCAAGTATAGTATTTATCTTTAAGGATTACATATAATTTCGATTTTTAAAATTAATATAGATAAAGAGTCGTATGTACTTGTACATTTGAAAAGAAAAATTTAAAAAATCTGAAATAGCAGATGTAAACATTTTCTTCTGAAATCAATCATTATAATTTTTAATTCTTTTATTATCCTAACGTCTGCTATATGTCATTGAATTTAATAATTTAAGTTTATAAAGATTCTTGCTATATTGGTTAAATATTAAAATTCCCGATTTAAATACAAATTATAAAATTTGGATAAATAGTTTTTTTTAATTCACATATCGAATTTAATAGATTCAACAGTCTCAGTTTAAATATTTATTTACAATAAAAATTGAATTTTAATAATATCATAGCGATACGATCGATTAATTAATGTTATAAGAATTTTATAATAAAGAAGTTTCAAAACGATTTTGTTAATTAAGTTTATCTGTCAATTTTATGTAAAATAACACGGAAAGGGATTATCCGACACTTCTGAAAAAACGATATTCTAAACGACATTCTAAACTTATAATAATATTTTCGTCAACAGCTGCAAAACAAATAAATATGATAGTCAGAACGATTATAATTTTATGAAATGAGATCCTTCAAAATGTATATTACATTTTAAAACAATTTGATAAACAACTAAGTAAAACAGTGAGAGAGAGAGAGAGAGAGAGAGAGAGAGAGAGAGAGAGACGGGAGGGGCAGAGCTGGCACTGTAGACGAAATAAAATGTATAATTGAATAGAAAAAGTATAAAAGAAATAATTATTATATAAAGAGGTAAGGTCTGCAGACAATTTATATACAATTTATAATAAAAAAATCGAGTAAAATAAAATGGTATCCTCATTTCTTGGTATCTCTAAAGATCAAACGTTATTTATGATAAAAGTTGTTAAAATTAATAGAAATTTTTTCTACTACTCATGGTGAGTTTAAATTAAATTTTATAATGTTAAAAGCAGCACATGTTAACTACTTAATTACATAAGAATTCCACTATAATAATATTTTGATTTATCGTAATAACATGAAAAAAATAATGCGATGCTGTTAAGTAAATTACCGTTACTTTTATTATTAACAATAATTATAATTTATTCTTCGAGTAATGATCGTAGGAGCCTCAAGCTCCTTTATTTCTCGAGCATAAAAAATCTTGTTTCTTTCATTATCCTTTTGTTTTTCATTCACCGTTTCGCTATTTATTCTTCTTTTTTATTCTTACGAGGCAGCACACTCGGTTTTATTGGAAATGCCAAACTGCCGAGCATTAATTATAAAGGGAATGTGTTATCAGTGGCGCGTGTCCTCTTTACCGAATAGTGGTTACGTAAATAAATAGAGACCAACGAGGCCGCAAAACGATCGAAAGCAAAGTGAATGACGAGAGTGACGTTTCGATGGCTGTACATACGTTCGGTAACCCTTGGTATTATAGCCTCCCTGTCGAATTCAATGACGTCAAAGTAATCGGTGTTGGGGACTTTAGCCGTGGTCAGGGCAGCCGGGACTAGATTAACGGATATGCCGGATGCCTCGAAAGGATCGATGAGCAACTTGTCCAGCTCGACGCACTCGCCGGTCTCGTGGTGGCATTGCGCCTGCGCGCCCTCGCACAGGCAAATCGAATTGCAAGCGGCACCCCATTGTCCTCTGGGACACTCGCTCTCGCACCTGAAAAATCCAATGTCAGCCTGGTGCACTGTGAGAGAAATGCACACGAGCGCCAAGGACCACTGAGCTGTGAATTTCACAAAGTGGCCAGTTCGTGTCTCGCTGTGTGATTTTGAGAGTGACAGGCGAATGGTCTGGAGCAAAATGGTTCGATCGCTTCTTTAAGCTTACGCTTATGCTTTACTATCGGTGAGCTCGGAGAGTCCGTGAGTAGACTCGATTCGAGGGATGAATCGATTACCGAACTTGCGATAAGAAACTGAATGCGCGTTAAGAGCGAAATAATTCTAATTAAAAATTTTCATGCTAATTGGGATTTGTGTTGTTAGCCTTACAACGCCAAATATTTCACATTCTCGAAAAATGGAATCTCAATATTAATTCCTTAAAGCGTGCTGAGCTTTACTTATTAATTTTTTCATTTATATAATTATTCATTAAACTTATTCGTGAATTCATTATTTCTTATCGAAGGAAAATTTAATAAACGAAAACTTAAAAAGTCTTTAAAACGGCTAGATAGGATAATTCTTACGTAGTTGAAATTTTGTACCATTCATTTTATCCCGAAATTCTTACGCACCTTTTAACTTAATTGTTACGTATATTTATAATTGAAATCGAATTACGCCGTTACATTGGATATCGGCTTTCCTTTATTATTATTATTCCGCGAAAAACATACAACTCTGTTACTCTGGCATTTGTACACATTCAATCATTCGGTATAGCATATGAAGCAGATAATACGTAAATTGAAATAATGTTCATCCAAGCGAATGTTTATTATTCTTGATATAAGAAATTTATATTGATAATTAATCTATTGGATGCATATCGATTGTATCTATTGGATATAAGTGGGAACTAGGTATTTTGGTAGTACCGATGTTATGCTAATTCAATTTATTTTCCATAAATTCGACTGAATTTGCGTAATCTCACTCGCGAACGTTAGTTATCCAATGGCTGTATAAACTTACCGGGAGCCCATCCATCCTGGGGGACACTTGCACTTGCCATTAACAGGATTGCATGACATATCGCGAATACAGTTGCACTCGTTCTTGCAGCCTTGGCCCCAAGTGCCCTGTGGACACTCTTTTAAGCAAACATTCATTACGTCTCGTTGACATTATGAAGATTATGAATTTTTCATTGGCCGAGCATATCGTGTACATTTACTTTAATTTTAAGATGGGCATCTACAGCCCATTGACATTACCTAGGCGCATAAGTACTTTATCGCCAGTTATTATCAATTCTATATGGATAGACGGATAATCGGGAATCGACGATAGTAGACGAAATGTTGAGTTTTTCTTCGTTCGTTTGGCTGACCCGATAATTCATTTGGATGCAAATATTTTACCATCGCTCACTTACCGTTTGCTAATACATATTGTTCTTTGATTGATATTTAATTGATATTTTTGCATGATATAGAGTTTGATGGGAGCTGCGAAAAAAATGAAAAAAAGAAAGAGGCAATTTCTTGAATAAGTATGAAATGATTGAGACGAAACCGCGTCCGTCCTAAACGTCAAAAAAAGGATTCATTATATTTAGATTGCAGGTGAAATTTTAAGTAAGCTTTATAATTGTCAAAGGCAAAAAAAAAAAAAAAAAAAAAGAAAACATAATTTATAATATAATCAATAATTGTCTATGTTGAGATGGTTAAAAATAACGTTTTTGGGCGTAACAAAGAAGTTAGTCAATTCGTGGTTTAAAATTTAAATAAACTTGGATGAAATTTACGATTAAGTTTGAGAAAACGTGGAGTTAGAATTGATTGAATGACGATGGATCATTGTGAATGCGATGAAAAAAATATCACGCTCAAAGTGAAATTAAAGATGCACTTAAAATTACAATTACAATAGTGCAACAATGGGCTGTCGAGGCACTAGCAGCGCATAAATGGCCAACTAGGCTTGTAAAATTCCCAATGCAATGTTATTGGCGAAAAGTTTTCGAGAGAATAGCTGACTCCCTCGCTCAGCTTTGAAAATACACTTCATAGAAATGATTTTCCGCTTATTAGAATGTAACGATCGGTTGTCGTGCATCGTGAAGGAGTAGGAGGAGGAGGAGGAGGAGGAGAAACGGTCGGGAGTAGGACGTGGTGAAGGAGGAGGAGGAGGAGGAGGAGGAGGAGGAGAAGGTCCGGTCGTTTCGTCGTCAAGCGCGAAGCGGCGGTTCTCATCCGCCGCCGACCTCGGGGCAAAAACGGCCCCCGCCAATAATTGCCCACGAGCGTGAAAAGTCACTCACCATAAGCGCAATCCTGTCCTTGGTAACCCGGATCGCAGGTGCACTCGTTCGGTGCCGTGCAGACGCCGCTCCGGCACTTTTTGCAGTGGGGGACGCACTTGGCGTCGGCACCGCCTCCATTCTCGAGGAGCTCCTGCACCGCGTAGCCTTCGCAGCATATCGGCACGCTCTTAAACTTCACTTCCGTCTGGGAAAACAGGGAGAATCATTGGCTGTTGCACCTTCACTTTTCTGCGGGCCACAGTCGGCCCTGACTACGTAATTGCGACTAGGCGATAATCCACGGCCGGAACGAGTTTACGCGCTTCTCCGTAAGAAATCGGGCAGTTTTTGCCGATCGGGCACTTCCAATTCCGTGCCGTGCGATTCTTAATTAATAGAAGAAAATTCAAGCGATGGAAGGATGATATGCAGTCGATGATCATACGATGCGACCGGCGATGTGATATTTGGATGGTTGACTAGTCCCGCTTTACCTTTAGTCATTCCATACTCGGACAAGTAAACGATCGAGGATCGTTTATTGACAATTTCATAAAAACGTAATTTCGCAAGGCATTACGAAAGCTTTCTATTTAAAAGCCACATAAAAATGCCGCCAGTATCAAGTGCTAAAAGTGACTTTGTAAATGCGATCTCGCGCGTTAGGCTATCCCTTACTCGCGTGAGGCGATCTCGTGGCTAATAAATACGTAAAGCATGTGCCCAAAGCGTAAAAGGCAAAAACCTTTGCTTTTAACAAATAAAGCCGCAACGGGGAGAAGTATGATGAATTTGCCGAATCGAATTGGCGTTTAAGAGGCACATAAGCGATCGATTGCATTCCAGCCTTAATTGTAGCCTCAGAATAAATTATACACTTATACTTTTTACGCTTGTGTTTGTGTTTTTGTGGAGCGCGCGTGCATTATCGTAGCGCGGGTTTTGCCGTGTAATTTTCGAAACGCAATGCAATTCCAATGCGCGCGTTAAGAGTAAAGGACAAATATGTAAAATAAACGAGCTCATTATTGCAATGGCAACAATGAGAAAATAAGCGAAGCTGTCGCTTACTGTAAATGGCAAAATGAGCGCGATAATTTGCACAATAATAATAATAACAACAGGGCAATATGTGGGATTAATAAATTTCTCACAATTACGTTATGGAAATCAGGGGCTTACGCGTACATCTTAAGAGAAAAATTGTATATAAACATTTTGAAACAAACGTGTTTTCGCTCGCTGCAGTTTCCAATCTTAATCGTTAATTTTGCGATAAATATCGGTTTTATAAAATAAACAAATGGTATTAAGAGCACATTTAGAGATAAGGAATCTCAATAATTTCAAATAATTTTATAGAAAGTGATATTCTAGAAATTGCGTTTCTGCATTAATGGTATTGAGATATAGAGTAGATAGCTATCGATCTACAATTTCCCGAAATATATCTACAGATCATTATAGATTAATTAATAATATCATACGTTGAAAATATAAAAAGATGAGAGTAAAAGTAATATTTTGAAATTGCGGCACGTGCCTTTTCATGATATCCCGAAAGAATAATTATATAAAGCGAATGAAAATAAGAAATAACGATCTCGAAAACCAATTAAAATAAAATGAAATAAAATAAAAAGAAAAAAAAACAAAAAAGAAAAAAAAAACGAAAACATCGAGAAAATAAATATACCGATTAATGTTATATGCAGATAATTTAAAGAGTCATAAAAGCAGAAGCATTGGCACTTATTGAAATTATATAATTTAACGTTTACAAATTATAAATCATCAAGCACTACGACAACAACAACAACAACAACAACAACAGTTTTTAAATAGCAATTAAATAAGCAACGTCAACAATTAAATACTATGTGTAGGAATTGTTCTATAAGAGCAGCTGTTGCAGGATAATATTTTTCATTTCCCGCACGTATCGTAATATTGACTATTGATACCCAATACCTCTGGCTCTCACTACTTCTGCGTTTAAGATTATTTCTAGGATATCTGACACCACGAAGGAAAGTCATTAGTCATATTCTCATTCTAAGCAACATTTTAACAAAGACGAAATTTGTTCATAATTTTCACAATAAAACAACAACATCTGAATTACAAATTTGAATACAAACAAAATGTTAAGTAATAATGAAAAGAAGATCCGCGCGCGCACACGCACATAATCGAACATAACTAAAATTTCACAGGCATTATGATTTTCGTAGTATGCATAAAAATTTCTCCATATTTTGCTCGTATTAATAATATTTTTTGTGGCTAAATTAACAAAAATGAGCCTTGTGCCTCTCATACCTAATTAGTGCATTGTCTTGAAAATATTATGAAAGCATAGATTTCTGTAATAAGAGGCATAAATAACTTTGTGCAACATTCATTATGCAAATTATTATATAAATTAAATTAATATTCTTATAATTATAGATAAGACGTATTATATGAGACAAAATTGAATATAATTGATTATCTCATTTCATTTGTATCTAATATGAATTTATAGATCCCGTTAATATTACTATTGTGAAAGTATATAATTAAAATAAAAATATTTTATTACTCTGATTTCAATGTAACAACCATTTATTTACAAGTAAGTACACGCGTATATCATTTATGAATATCGAGTTCATCGTTCTTATGACTAGAGAATATCTAACACAATCATATATGTATGTCGAATGATATTTTATTAATGTTAAGTGCTTAACGATCCAAATGAATAACCCACATTTTCATCTAAAATTATAATATGCAAAATGTCATTTTACGTGATAATTTTATAATAACATAATTATTGTAATGAGTTCTTAGGTACTCTGGATAATTAAATATTAAGTATCATTTAAATTTTAAATATTGCTCGACAAATTTGTCGAACTACTCTTATATACATTGGAATAAATAAATAAAATTTTTTGCAATTATTCTTTCTTAATGACAGTTACATAAATTATTATTAAATACGACTTTCTATTTGCAATAAATAAAGATTTTTTTTTATTTATGTTGTTGTTGTTGTTATTATTGATGTTAATATGACGTTTCTGCAAGGCCATTGATGTATGGAAATTAAAATTCCATGCGTAGGTGATTTTCGCAAACTATTTCATTTAACCCCAAATGGGTTTGCACACATGTGAAATACAAAATTCAATTCTCTATTCGGTTTGTGTAATCTGATTACCTTTCTGAAATCCTTTTGTCTTTTTTACCGCGATATTTGCTTGCTTGCTTGCTTGCACATAGTAATGCGTTGCGCAAATGTGTGAGCCGCAAAATTATTCTCATATCTAATCATATATATATATATATATATAAGGAAAGATTGCAAATTAAGCGGATATTCTATAAAAATCAATTGGTTAAAAATGGAAAAATATTTAATTTACTGATAAATATTATGGAACAAAATTATAGTCAACTTGTGTCGATAATTTTTCTACTTTTTTGGAAAACAATAACACTCATCGTATTTAGAATAATAAACTATTTATAAGACAAGATGATAAAACTTTCATCTTTCATTTTGGTAGTTTTAATTTTTTTTCTAAAAATATTTTTATTGTTTCATATTTTGATTGAGCAACGCATATATTTATTCAATAATAATTTTTGGTAAATGTTATAAGAATATTTCAATATCGCAGTGAATTTACGTTTTTAGCACAGAAGTAGATTTAAATAAATATATTTTATGTTAAATTGACTATTTGTATAATGAGATTTATAATCCAAATGCATTTTAAATTAAGTCCTCCATGGTAATATTGAAAGAAAATTATTTATATTGCATATGCAATGTTTTATATTTAAAAAATGCTATGTATTAATTATAAAATTATTATGCAGAGAAGAAAAACTTGTTTCTAGGATAAATTATATATATATATATATATATAGGAAAAAAATTACTTCCTTTTTTTTATAAGAAAATGATATATTATAATATAACAAATCTAATAATCTAATAACCTAATAAAATAATTCAGATTATAAATAAAAATAATTATTTTTTCTCTCCTCGTTAATAAGTAAAAGTTAAAGAACAAAAAAAATACGTTTGCTTAAATTGTGCTATATAAAATTTACAAACTGAATTTTGCGTTATGATTTCCTTTGTACATTTGTAATAGCTTTTTGCAGTTCACTTTGGGAATTAAATGCTCAATCGAGTGACTATTATTTATTGAGGCTTTTATTTTGTACTGTAAATTTTACTGAAATCTCGAAAAATAAGTTAATTTATAGAAAATTTACGCACAAAATGCACCCCCTATATTACTGTTATAAGCCGGTGAATTTTAATTGCAAATGATTTTATAGATTCCGTATATAAATGTACTTTCAATAAATTTCCAAAACGCGAATTATAATTATTACACTTGATTAATTTTTATTTTCTTATCGCCTTTATGTATACGTATCATAAGCTAAATGACCAAGATCTTGTTAAATATAAATTCTGTTTGTTGTAGAAATTCTAATTACCTATTACCCAAGCCAACTATTTACCTTATACGATGAAAAAGTCAGCCGAAGAAAGTCTTGGTTTAATGTAAATACTCACAGAGCGTATTAATTTAAATTAGTCGTACGAAAATATGGAGTAAAATGTTTGCGATCGCTTATTTATGGCATTTGTCGTGGAATGTTTTACACGTGTATCTCTCTCTCTCTCTCTCTCTCTCTCTCTCTGTGAGCGTGTGCGCGCGCGTGTGTGGACGACACGTCGTAGAGTATAGGCAACTTTGGTGGTCTGCTCTGTCGTGCCAACGATAATGGAAAGCTGAATTGCGAAATTCTCAGAGCAGCAGCAAAAGGGACATGAGCACAAATACTTCCGGCAGGATAATTCGATTTGTTTTTAAATTAGATAGAGAAGGCCGATGTTGCGCGATAATTACTCTAATTAAAACGTACGTTAAGATGGTGATTTAATGCTGTTACTGCATCATAGTCGCGTTGCTGGATATCGACAATTTTTACTTATCCATTGGTTATAGGGCAATTATTTTGGAATTCTATTGAAATTATATAAGGCGTTGTTATGCAAATGATTTAAGGTCATGAATGGTAATATATTTATTTAATGTACGTTATGATTATAATCGAGGACTTTAGTAAGAGTATGGTCTTGGCGCATGAACAACGTGTTAAAATATTGTGATTATCCAGATGTGGATGTTAAATTATTTTCGTAAATTGAAAAATTTCATCAATTATGAAATGATTTATGGGAAACATTGTTATCCTGCAATCGATCGAGTTATTTTAATCGTCATGAAGTGTAATTTCACCTCGTTGTACATAAGTACTACAATTATGAGAAAAGGAAAAAAAAACTATACTATAAACTTCACTCATTCATATATCATTAAGGTGTTCGAAAGATTTAAATGTTCTGTTTAGTAGTGAATATTAATATTGCCATCGTAATGTATTGGAATGAAAAATAACTGGAAATTTTCTTTTCTTCGATGCCTCTTTTATACCAAGGCTTTTCATATTTTCAATTCGGATAAATTTTTATTTTTATTATAAGGTGTTGCCGTTTAGGCGAGACATATATATATAAATTTGATATTATATCTAATTATTTTTAGGCGTGGATAACATGAGTTTTTCTTTTTTTCTTTGTTTTTTATCCTTTTCTTTCTCTTTATTATAATGAAGCTCAAATAAGAGGGCGATATTAAATTTCAAAATTTGATCATCCCACTAAAAGGAAAACACTTTCTTTATCCCTCAATAGAGGCAAAGCCAACAATCTACAATAGAAGCGATATTTCTTCTACCCTTTTTCTAAATATTATCCGACCAATTTCTTAAAACCTCTTAAAACCTCTTAAAACTTGCATAAATATTAACAGCGCAATATTAACAGCTTCTTATCTCGAAGTTATCTCCGTTTATCTTGTAGATCTATTATAATAATAGTGAAATGATGTTAGATATGCAGGGATTTAATTTGCGTAGATACGCGAATATCGATAAGTGTTTGCAAAGAGTCTAAATAATGCGAGAAATTACATACGCCCGCAATTACCACAAATTTCCTAATCTATCATCTATTTTTTATTACTTTTCAGATCTTCGTAATCTAAGAATAAATCTCTCTAACCGCCAGCCGTTACCATTCAGCTATTATTTTTCCCGATATAACGTATAATCGAGACATTACGTACGTTATCGAGTTGGCTGCTTGCGCGGGGCTTATTTATATTTCCTCGTAAGCTTAAGACTCGACATAATTCCGTTTATCGATTTTTAAAAGTCCAGCATGTTTAGCATTTTTTCGACAGTCGACGGGCGACTCGAGAGATTTTCCGATTACGCAAGAGCCGGTACTTACGTAACGCAACTAACTCAAGATCGTCCGAATTTTTGATAAGAGGTTCGTTGACGGCTAGATGCCAACACGTGTTCTGCACAAGCTGACGAGGCCAGCTCGAGCCACTAGAGCCAAGGAGCGAAGAAGCCCCAGGAGAAAGCAAAAGCATCTCCGAACGAGAGACGGGAGATTCCGATCGGCCGATTAATAAGCTTCGCGCCTCCTAGAGGATCTTGCGTGCCTTAAAATCGCCCCCGGACGTCTCGTTCTCTCGTTCTCTCTCTTTCTCTCTCTCTCTCTCTCTCTCTCTCTCTCACTCGCTGTCTGCCCGACTCTGTCTGAGAAACGTTCCCTCGTTACGGCGTGTGCCGGCGCATGTTTTTCCCGGCTATTGGCCAACCGCGGACCGAGATGTCGAAGTCCCGGGCATTATTCGTGCGGGTCTCCTTCAACAACTCACCTTCGTTCGCCAACGTTCTCGCAACTCCGTGCGAGTCTGGGGGCAGCGTGGCGGTATCTGCAGGCACCAGGCGAGTGTGTGAATTTCCACCGGCTCCACATACTGCTCCCGTGACGTCACCGTGTAGCTATCAATTTATCACAAGTGTTAATAAAATAACTGGCGACGAGGGAGATTATGTGATTGCATGCGGGTGGGCTCGAGGGTTGTTTGCCCCAGTACCGTGTTCCTCGCCCCTGTAAGGCTCCTTCGATTCTCGTTTAACCTTCGTTCAAGGCCTCCTCCAACTATCGTTCTATCCGCTCTCCACCCTCCCCATTCGACCACCCGGCCCCTGACCCGCGCCGATACAACGATAAGTGCCCAGCCACGAAAATCCCTATCAGCCGATGAAAATATACGTGCCGTTTAATGGTTTCGTAAGGCCCGGATTTTTATTTTATCAATCCTTTATTTGCGAATTGTTTAACATCGATTCGTTAGTATGGCGTCGTCGAATTTTCAAATGTCCCTCCAGACTTTCGTTGCCCCGCACGGATATGTAACGTTGATTTCATAATCTACGAAAAAGGATAGTGAATCGTATTGGACTGCCTGGTAATGATTATCAACGGTTAGTGATCAACCCTTTGAAGTAAAATTAACGGAATCTAATGGCTTTTATATTTTCCATGAGCATTTGTCATTTTGTAATTTCATTATAATAATTATTATTATGATTATTAATATTATTATTCCGTCCTCACTTCCCATTGCCGTTTTTAGTGATAAAGCAAAATCGATTGGGAATGACATTTATGCAAAAACGAGAGACGAGCCGTGCTTACACTAATTATTTTTTATTTTTTGTTTATTGTTTGTTTTAATGTATAGATATAAGATCGTAACTACGATTATCTTAAAATTGTTACTTACGGATGTGCAGTTTTGATATGAAGAATTATTTGTTTATAGCTCATTCTTAATCTAAATATTTCACACGTTCGTTGAGATAGCCTCCACCAATATAGTATTTATAACAAATAATTACAGATGAAATTCAAAGGAAATATATATATGTGTGTGTGTGTGTGTGTGTGTGTGTGTGTGTGTGTGTGTGTGTGTGAATCTACTGGCGTAGCTAATCTGATTAAATATTTTTTCTCAATTCCTATCTATTTTTTTGTATTTCCATGACTTGGCACTTTTAAAATTCTTATTCAACACTGTTAACGCGCTTAACGAAAATTATCATATTCTCCAGGCTTTCATGCACAACGTGGATTAGAGAGCTCAAAACCTCGATCGATCGATCTATCTCAGCACTATACAGTGTCATTAAATCAAGAATGATAGATAAAAAATTTTATTTAAAAATGATTCAAGTATTCGTTAGTCGGAGGGAAAAACGTCTTATCCACAGCTTTTATATTACATTGAAATTTATATTAGAATTTTACGTCGGACAATCAGTGTCGCGGGTAAAATAAGAAATTCCATAAAATTTTGTAACAATCTTAATTAATAATCGAATGATAGTTCGAAGTCGCATGTATAATAACCGTTTAGTTTTACATAAATGGATCGATGCAGAGAATTGCAGGCTTTTAAATCGCTTCAAAATTTTAAAAACCCGATACTGATAATGTCCCCCCCCCCCCCCCCCCCCCCCCAAACCCTCCACCACCGTCACCAGTCCCAAGCCCATCTATTACGTATATGAAATTTTAAAGACCTATTGTAGCTAATTTCCTAAAGGGTTAAAATATTAAGAAACGCCTTTAAGTTCTTACACCACAAATTCATAGCTCTCACATTGAAATTAATTAAACTTAATGCTTTCCCATAAACGTTCCTAAGTAGACTATCGCATTTACCTTTAGCATTGTGTAACAATCGTACAGTAAACAATGTTAAAATAAAAGCATAAGTACTTTATTTATATCTATGATCTAGCTTATTAATACCGCGTGTAAGAAAGCGATGCCAGAAGGGCGAAGTGGGTAACGTGATTTTCCAACGGGCATAGTCGCAGCAGTCGTCGACGTCGCTAACGGAGTCGCGCAGACACGAATTGAGGCGAAAGCGATCGGTAATCAAGCATATCCTTCCCGATAAGCAGTCTAATGTCCACGTTTAATTAACGTAGCTTTATCGACACTTACTTTTCCACGTGGTGGCACACGTGGTCGCCGGTTAGCGCTGAGGTGAGCTGCAACAGCGCCGCCGCCGCCGCCGCCAGGGTGGCCAGAAACTCACGTAATCGAGATGATCCCATGTTACCGTGAACTCCACCTGTGTACTCGTGAGTGCTAGGACCTGCGGGTGAGACATGCGCTGCATTAGCATCTCCGTATCATTAAGGATTCGTCGTTTGCACTGGAAAGATTTTCAAAGAAGCTAAGCGCTTTCGTGACTCAGAGTCACATAGATGTCGTTAGCGAATCGCAAAGGTGGGTAGATGAAATCGGCTGAAAACAGCGCAAAATGCGGTGGCGATTGTACGATCGTTATTTAGATCAAGGCGTCGTGGGTACAGCGATTTTTTATCCTTTTTTTTTCGATCAAGTAACTCTTTTCTCGTTGCCGGCGGTGGTGTGTGAGGAGGAGGAGCAAAAAAGCAAAATAAAGAAATTGATAAATGCAGGAGTCACAGATTATCAGCTACAAAGTTACAATTTTTTTTTTTTTTTTTTTTTACTACTTGCATTAGCAGTTTTCTACACGTTTATTGCGAGGATTTATTTATGAGTCGATCAATTATTTAATGGTTTTTAAGTGCCAGCGATTTAGCATTGCTTTTCTCGTCTTATGTACAAAACCCGTGATAGCAACAATCCAATGGGCTTTTGCCGTTATTTACGGAAATTCCCCGTACTTACTTCGCGGTATTATTGCAATATTACAAATTAAAGTTAAAAAATTAATAAAATTTCTGTAAATTTTGCTCAAAATAATTAATCATTACAACAGTTACGTTACAAGGTGCATTCGATTTTAGCCTTTCAATAAAAGGTTAAATTTCACGAGGGAATGGTCGTTATTACGGAGGAGCTTATGAAAAAATCTAATCGTTTTAATATGATCGTTAAGTAGATCGAAAGTAGTATGAAAAAGAAAAAAGGAAAAAAAGAAAAAAAAAGAAAGGAGTTTGTGAGATCCGACGAGAGATTGTGCCAAAGTCAATGAGTCAAAAGTTGAAATGCTCTGAGTAAACAGCGAAAGTACAATAAGTATATATAAACAGCACCTGCGCTTCCTCTGAAGTGACAAAGCATTCGACTTAAGATCGCTCGTAGTTGTCGAAAGTGGTGTAGCAGCCATCCTTGTCTCGAGTGGCAATCGTCAGGAAGTGACAATGGACACCGTTAAGTCGGTCGCGCGACATCAACGATCCCAGAAGTGCCGGGAGTCTCGTTTCATACATAAACGATTCGCCCGAGCCCACGCGCATACATACACGCGCGCTTGCGCGCCCACACTCACACAATTCCACTATGTGTATATGTGTATGGTTGAAAGAAAAGCGATGTTTCATTTGTAGAGTAGATGGAGGCGACAAGATCTGTAATACTGTACAGGAAATCTCAAACATTGAAATCGCAAGGTGTCTCGTTACGAGCACTGGCGGCTCAATTTAACAATTTGATTTACTCTCGCGCTTTATAGCCAATTGCCACATGACTTTATAATTCACTGCGTTAAAAACTTTGATCCAAGATCCAATTATTTATTGTATTTTATGATTTGGCAAGTGATAGGGACTCCTTATATTCCTGCAGTCTTATGTGAAATACAATTTCGAAATGTGACTTACTTATGAAACAATTTAGACCGAAATGAAAGTCAAATGATTCGATTTATATGACAAATCCTTCTTTTTAAATACTTATACAGTGACGAATTTATTGGACTTTATAATTTATAATAATTATAATGAAAGTGTTTTTTCTTGTAACGGATTTTTATGACACAAGCATATCGTACCGAAGAAATTTAATACATTGGTGAAAGGACTTTATTGACTATGATATATCTAAAATGCACACAATATACAAATAATGATCTTAAGTTTGCGAATGAAACGTAATTATAATTATTAATATGTAAATACTTTAATTAATATTCTGTATAAATAAATTCAATAAATACATAACTATTCTAATAAGTATAAAATTGAATATTTTAAAGCAGTCGCTTGTCTTAAACTTTAATCGATAATAACAATTTTGTCTTTATTTACAAAGTGAGTTGTTCGATTCGAGTGAATTGTTGAAAAAGAAAAAACCAAAAAGAATACAAATTCTTGGTTTTCACTACTTTTTCTTATAACGTTTTATATAATCCATTACCATTGAATAAAATAGCGAACATGTTAAGCATGGCAAAACCAACATAAGCAAGCCATACACACAGTATTAAGCATTTAACGATATTTACGATAATATAAATCTCATTATGTACGTGCATTCTTTTGCATTTTCTCGATCATTATTTCCTTTTATCGTCCAACTGTTATAATCTATAATCTTATATCTAAATAGTCGAGCGAAAATGTTTACAAATATAGATCTTATGCCTAATACTTTACGTTTCATCCTACAACTTTCTCTCTTCTTCGCTTTCGGTCAGCCGTTCATTCGCTTTCTCCTACCACCTATCTTCCTCCTTCTCTCATAATCCTGTAATCCTGTCCACTTCCCTCTTTAATATATCTAACTTTGCCTCTAGTCACAGTGCGTAAGCAAAGACGATGGACGTTCAAGAAGCAGCACCGCACAAGTCCTTTTACATAATAAATGACCACGAAATTACGACGCAGAAAACGTATTTAAAAATAAGTTATATGCAGTTTCGTTGGTATTTATTCAATCAAATATCTATCATATTATCATTTTACACGAAATAATAATGGCAATAATAAGGAATAAGCGCGTAGAATAGACAATTTCGTCTAAAACCTTAAAGTAAATATTGCGGACGGATTATATTCCTTATGAAATTACGCCTTATAAAATAATAAAATAATATTAAATTCATAAGCGGATTATATAAGCAATTACATTTCATCATATCAAAACAATGTGAAAAGATCGATCGATTGAAGAATAGAATTTGCCGGTAAGTCGAGCGCAATGTCCAATAAGTTATATCGCGGATGTGGTTAGCATTTTCTGCACGCGTGGCTACAACGAATTTCCCATCTTCCTACAGGTGTACTTGCGCGGAATTTTTGAACGCCTGTTCGCTCGTTCCACTACAATGCACAGCGGATAGCATCGAAATCATTTCCAATCGTCGTGAAATTCTCTTACTTTCGTTCTCTAATCTCTTTCATCCCCTTCCACGCACGAGGACACTAAGCCGTGAAATAATGCCCAGCAATAATATGAATGCTGAATCACTTTCATTGGTCGGAAGGATTGGACTTTGACTATATGTAAATTCGCTTTATCTAATGTAAATTCTATTGCAGGATGCCTGTCATAATAACTTTGTAAAGAACATTTATATTATAAGGACACTGGTGCAATAATACTTGAATTTCGCTCGACGATCGTTTGAAAAAGTCTTCTTTTCTACTATTTATCATGTCTCATTTGATTATTCAGATGCTAAGTAAACATATAAGTTTCTTCATAGTCCTTTATTTATTCTACGAATTTTTTTTTTTTTTTTTTTAACGATGCACGATTTTTTTTTTTTTTTAACAACGAATGAAAATTCATTAATTATTTTCATACTAAATATAAAGCACATCTTTAATGAATTTTCTACGTGACATTATAAATTCATATAATAAATGATTACGTCCGTAAGCTTATAAGTTGAATAAGATTGTTTCAAAGAAATATTCTTATTAAAAATGAAAAGAATCTATCATTCATATGGGCATACTGATAAAAAGTAAAAACTTGTGATTAATATCTGTACGTTCAATATACTTATAATTAATATTATTAAATTAATAATTCAATTGAGGGAGCCTATATGAGAAATTAAGTATATGTAGATTATAGAAAAATTGCTGGATATAATGATTATATTATCAGTCTAAATAATTATCGGATATCATTTTAACTGTCGCAGATCAAAACGACCGCAATCAGGACAGCGGCATTAATCAATCTAAGAATGATTCTCTTACAAGCCATGGCTGCCTCTATACGGATCTATCTATAATAACTACATTAGATCCGATAATAGCGATCGTTGTCGCGTAGAAGCAAATGACATAGGCCGGTAGTGAGATAGATCGAGGATAATGGGAGAGACGTTGATTACGGTTCTTTATTCTGATTGTTTTGAAGTGTGTGTTTTTATGTCGTTACGACGATTCGAAGATGTGTTTTTGAAAAGGAAAAGTGACGAATGCAGTGTAAATTAAGAAGAAGAACATAAATTAGAGACTCTCGTCGAAAAAGCAAAGACAGGGCGTAGCCATCGCTGTTATTGACCAAGTATAGCGCTTCGTAGAAAATCGTCGGCCTTGAAAATAAATTATCTCGCGAGGTGTAATATAATATAATACGTGCGTTGAGATATTTTTTCATCAAGAGATATTAACTCGAATGTCTTTTAGATTGAGTGCATACGGTCTCAATGGTTTAGAACCATTTTCTTGTTTCGCGAATCGTTCTGACCTGTAGCAAGTGATTCAAGTGGTATTCAAATAATAATTACATAATACATCACTTAAGAGGAAAACTTTGTTGGTTTTCTATCCCTCTTTTCTTTATTTATTTATTATTTTAACAATCTCTTAACGTTGCTCAATTATTATTTGCCTTAGAATTAAAAGAAGTAATTTAGAATTTTAGGAGCCTTCGTTAAATATTTCCTTAATTTAGTATTTTATTACGTTGTATAATAAAGTTTTATGCACAAAATGAAAAAAAAAACACCACTTCATTATATCTATTCACGTTTTATTTCCTTAAAGCTCCTATAAACCTCGATTAATCATTCTCATAATTAAAACGATAAGTTTTATTTCACGAGTATTCGACACCGACGCCATTGAAAAGCAATCGTAAACTACTAAACAAATGCTTCAATATCCATAGAAATTTCATCTTACTACACGGATTTATACATAACTTGCGTACGTAAGTATGTGAATTGCAGAAGAAAAAAATGTGTAATAAGTCGGGCTAAAAAAGGTTCGACGTCACTTTTATAAAAGTCGTTTTTTTTGCTTACATAAACGGAGAATACACGAGTGATATTACATTATGTTGAGGACTTTTCATATTTGGGCGAATTACAGCGACGGATGTCACCTTATAATTTCTTCTTTATTTCCACATTGTGAATG